ATTTGCGAGAAAAAAACCCTCAGAAATTTCCATAATTAAAAGCAGAAATTTGCGACATTTAAACTAGATATTTTCTGACTTGGTAAAGTCAGAAATTTACAAGAAAAAAGCTCGTAAATTTATGAGAAAAAAAAAAACTGAAGTTTTCAGGAAAGGCTAAAGGGCGATTCCACCTGTTTTCACTGCCTTGAGCTTATTTAATCCGCTCTAGTTTAAAAACTAAAACACACAGAGACTTCAAACCTGGACTAGATTATTCTACACTGATTGCAGAATAAAACCAAGTCTGTGATTTGTGAAACATATTTGATATGTGAAGCTTAAGGAAATATGGTGATTTCAACACTTTTTATGAACAAGCATGGCCCGATGGAGAGGTGAGAGAATTAGAGCAGGGGTGCCCACGAGCTGATTCCCAGGTGTCCACGCAGCACAACCTTGCTGCGGAGCCTCTAGCGCCGGCTTTGAGTGTCGCATCCCGGAATGGCTGGTCTTGTTTGAAAGCCCTGGCTCTCCCCTACAAGGTGAAAGTTGAATGAAGTCCCTGCGACGTTCCCCCCCGCGGAGATACAAGCAAAAACCCTCCAAAATTACACACCGTCTGACCTCTGCTGGGGGTGGTTTTAGCCCCCCTCCGCGGGCTAGGAGCATCGAATCCCGGAGTGGCTGGTTGGGTTTTAAAGCTCTGGTTCTGCCCTACAAGCTGATACTTGAATGGAGTCTCTGATGTTTCCCCTCGGAGCTATAAGCAAATTACACACGACTTAGTGCATTTTATGCGCATTTTTGGGAGGAAATTTCAACCTTCGTTTGCTTCTCCTGCGGGCTCYGAGCATCAGATCCAGGAAAGTCAGGTGACTTTGGAAAGCTGCGGTCCTCCTCTACAAACTGGAGGTRGTTGCAAGTTCCTGGGATGTTCCCCCGCGGAGCTATTAACCAAMGAYCGGCCRAAAAAGGCGCTTTGGCGGGCGATATAGTACTCAATTCACTCCGGAGCCTCTAGCGCCAGCTCTGAGCGTCAGATCCAGGTGGGAGAGGCTCGTTTTAAAGTTCTGGATCTCCTCTACAACCTGGAGGTGGTTGCAAGTTACTGGGACGTTCTCATGCGGAGATATAAGTGATCAAAAGACATCGGGCGAGCTCCGGCGGGTGAAACGGCTGATTTCCAGCACAGGCTGCTGGTGCTGATGCAGGGGAATAAAAGGAAGAGATCCAGTGAGGTGGAACCGTGGTCCTTCATCCAGCACCCGCTCTCCCACCTGGATTCAGCCAGAAACTCCTGGCGGGCGATATTTCTGCAAAAATGCATATAATTATGAAACCCACCTGATGGATCTGTTCCAGGCAATAAAAGGAACAGATCTGATCATCTGATCAGGTGAAACCGGTCCTGGAAGCTCAGCACCGGGTTTTATAACCGCCTGCGAGAGAGTTTTATATTG